GCTTCGGTGGGGGCTGAAGATAACTGGTGGAGGATAGCGGGCTGTAAAGGAGACAGAGACAGACAGACCGAGACAGAGACAGACGAGAGAAGAGCCGCTGGCAGCCCCGCTGGGAGACCCTCCACTGCTTAGGCCCCTGCGGATCCAGACCCAGGCAGCTCTCCTCCGACACCCCTCATTCCTCGCCGCTGGTTCTCCGCCAGGAGGAGCCCCCTCCCGCCTAAAGAAAGTACAACCTCCTAACCTGAGCGTGGGCTCCTGCCCTCCCCGTGACCTCGTGTGTGAAGTTTTCCTACACAAAGTCAAGAACCCACACACTACCGGCTGGCGCTAGGCAGACCCTCTGAGCCTGGTCCCCCGTCCCAGTAACGCGGGTGACCAAGTCCTGCCGGTATTCTTTCCTCTCTCCCCTTCCCAGCAGCCTCTAAATGTGCTTAAGTCTCTCCAGTCTTGCTAAACACACTTTCCTTGACCCCCACGCCCTTCTCCAGCTAGTACCCACCCCGCCTTCACTCCAAAATGTCTCGACTGTTGTCGCCGCTTCATCACCTTCCATTCAGACCCCAAACCATTGAAACCTGGCCCCAGGGGCCGTAGTATGCCGTGGCTCCCCGGTGTCATTGCTGCCTCCCTGTTCCAGCTCTCCTTCCTGCGCCTCTCGGTCGCTCAGTTGCTGGCTCTCCTCGCCCTCTTCCTGTAGTTTTCAGTCTTTCCTGGCTTCTGCTCTACTGGATTTCCTCATGCTGCTCCCTACAGCATCTCCTCTTCTCACCCCACACGCCTTCCCCGAGATAACAGCCTTCCTCATGACTTCACTTCCCACCTCTCCGCTGAGGCCCCCAAACCTGCAGGCCAGCTGGTTTTAGAGCCTGAACTGACAGGTATGTCCGATTGTTGATCAGACATCTCTCCAAGGCTACACGTCAAATTCAGCCCACCTGAACCCAAACGCAGCCTCTTCCCTCCAAATATTGCTTCTCCTGTTTACCTGCTTCCTTAGTGCAGGTCACCACCTTCCATGCCCGAGTCAGAGACCTGGAAGCGTCCTGGATGTCTCCTCCCTCTCTCCCCATGTTCCATTACTTATTAAATCTGTTTTACCTCCAGGATATGTCCTGCATTCACCCACTTCCCTATGTAGGTCCAGGCTAGACCTAGACCAAAGTTACAGCCTCCTTCCTGGCCTCTTGGCCTTCAACCCGTCCCCCACACTAAACACACAAAGACTTGTCCTGCCCCCTAGACTGAGGGAGCATCACATCAGGCCAAAATGAGAGACACAGACAAAACCAGCTGCAGCCCCGGCAGGTTTGGCTCAGTTGGTGGAGTGTTGTCCCCATGCACCAGGAGATCACTGGTCAGAACACATGCCCACATGCCCAGGTTGTGGGCTCGATCCCTAGTAGGGGACGTGCAGGAGGCAGCCGATCCATATTTCTTTCTCTCATCGATGTTTTTCTCTCTCTCCCTCTCCGTTCACTCTAAAAATCAATACAAAACTTAAAAAAAAAAAAAACAGCTGCAAAGTTCACAGGGACAGTATTCTCAACGACACCCAGCTGAAGCTGTAATGTTATAACAACCCCCTTCTTAAAACCATGACTGTTTTACTCAAAAAGAACTTTGAACTCTAAAATCATAGATTGGCAGAAACTTTGCTGTTTGAAATTCCCAGTAAGAATGAAACTTCCAGCTTCCTCCTGGAGTATGTAAGTCACTTTTTCAGAAAAGAGCCTGGATTTCTGGCCAGGGTGCCGAGCACAACGTCCTGGACACAGCATCATGAACACATCCCATGGCCATCTTGACTTGGTAGCACCTAAGGGAACAGGAGCCAGATCCAATTTGCAGCCCACACCTATTGCTGTCCTCTTCACATATGGTCCTGCTTCACACCGAGCCTGTTAAAACTCTGCTTCATGTCATCTCACCTTCAACAAAATCCTATGAAAACTCTTTACCTTTGCCAGGTGAGCTGCCCAGGGTTCCTGGTGCAGTAAGCTAACACCCGATTTGTCAGACTATGGGCTTGATCCTGATGATCTTAGGCTGGTGGGGCTAGGACCACTATAAGGTCCAAAAGGGCAAGGGCAGGCTGTCCCTCCAGTTTGCAAATACATATTGAGCACCTACTACATGCCAGGCGCTGGTGACACAGCAGTGAATGACAGAGCCCCTGCTCTCATCAGTCCCCACTCCTTGAATGAGTGGGCAGGTGATGATTAAATTAGGGGGAGAAGATGGTTGGAGGGGGCTAGCTGAGGCTGGGGGTGAAAGGCAGGAAAACAGGTGGGCTATGATGAAATCAACAGGGATTTCCAGGCTTAAGAACTCAGAGGCCATCTGAACATTTCCTTTCCTGTGTCAAGGGTCTCCTGCCTTTCCAAGCTCTTTCTACCCACCTTCATCCCCACCCACCTGCCAATTAGAGGCTACCTGGCCATTTTCCAACTTGGAACAGAGAAGAGAGCCCCTTCCTGCCTGGCCCTGCCCCAGGGCTGTGCCCAGCTGATGACAGCTGGTAAGGCATGGTCCTTTGAAGAGAAAATGGTCAGAGAGCTGAGGCCGATTGCCAAGGAGAAGCAGCTCCATGAGAGCAAAGTGTCCTAAAGCCCAGCCGACCCTGCCCTCCGGTGGCAGGAGTGAATCTCCCCAGCTCCTCAGCTTGGCTCACTCAAGTGAGGTTTCTGTCACCTGCAAGCCAAGGTAGTAGTGCACTGGTACACAGCCTTGTGTACACTGCCAGTAGTGCCCGGGGCAGTGCATTCGATTCCCTATAGGCCCGAGTGGCCAAGGAAAGGCAGGGGGCAGNAGGCAGTGCATTCGATTCCCTGTAGGCCCGAGCGGCCAAGGCAAGGCAGGGAGCAGGAGTGGCAGTCCCAGGTGCGGGCCAGGGGGGAGGGGAAGGAGGAGTGACCTGGCTTTACAAATTAAGACAATAAAACCAACTAAAAACCCATCTGCTTTGTATCACCAAGAGCCAGCAATTCTAAGCAACATCAATAACATAATTCTCTTCCCTGAAAAGCCCTTTACAGTAGCCCCGCCCCTTATCTTGGGGGCACACGTTCCAAGTCCCCAGTGGATGCCTGAAACCACAGATAGTACCAAACTCTATATATACTATGTTTTTTCCTACATATACATATATACTTATGATAAAATTTAATTGACAAATTAGGCTTAGTAACAGATTAACAATAATAACTAATAAAATAGAACAATTATAAGGATATACTGTAATTAAAGTTATGTGAATGTGGCATTACTAAGGCAAATAAGGGTGACTTGAACACAAGCACTGCGATATCGCAACAGTCAATCTGATAACCCAGAAGCTTCTACGTGACTAGTGGGCAGGGAGAACCTACAGCATGAAGACACTGGACGGAGGGATGGCTCATGTCCAGGGCAGGACTGAGCAGGTCGGCTTGAAATTTTATCATGATACCTGGAACAGTGAGCAATTTAGGACATATGAATTGTTTACTTCTGGAATTTTCTGTGTAATATTTTCAGATGGGTGTTGACCGCAGGTAACTGAAACCTCAGAGAGTGACACCGCAGATAAGGTGGGACAACTGTACTTGGTGTCAGCACTAAACCTGGGGCTGGCAAACTTTTTCTGTGAAAGGCCCCAGAGTAAATATTTTAGATTTTTTCAAGCCACATGGTCTCTGTCACAACAATTCAATTCTGCTGTCACTCACTGCACAAAAGTAGCCAAGGATAATACACAAACAATTGAACATGGCTGTGTTCC